TTCCTGCTCGACACTCCTCTTGACACTAAATCCGCAGGATTCATTTCTCCAGAGACATGCCTCCAACGAGCCTGAGGTAATAATTTCTGGATCTGTTCCACTTGGTTCTTCACGAACTGCTTATACTGAGCTGCCTCTAACGCAATCCATGCCAGCGCCACCTTTATCAATGCCAAATTCTGGATCTCACGGGAAAACCGATCCCAGCGAGCCACGAACTCCTCAGCTAATGGCTCATCCCAACCGACTCCAGACCTCTACAAGTCCTGAATGAGTAGTTTTCCCCTGACGACAAAAGGAGCTATCCACCCCAGAGGGTCAAACAGCTGGGCCACCTGTGACAAAATAACACGTTTCGTTCAAATCTCATTCTCGTGATGCTCTTTAGGGGAAAAGAAGAAATAATCCTCAACCGAATCCCAGTTGAGACCTAGGATACAATGGGACTCTTGATTATCAATCAGATGAATTGAAGATCCACTCATAGACTGCGAGATGCCTTGAAGAAAGCTTTGCTTATTCGTGGTCCACTTTAGCAGAGGCATGCCTCCAGCTGCAAACATCCTATTTACTTCGATTATCTGATTCCTGTAGCTCTCTTCAGTACTGGATCCTCCGTAGATATCGTCCATATACGTTATAGTCAGCACAACGTCTTTAGCCTGAGGATAATTCTCACCCTCATCCTCTGCTAACTGATGAAGAGTGCTGATTGCCAAAAATGGAGCTGGCTTCGTACCGTACGTCACAGTATTGAGCTGGTATTCTACGATCTCATCCTGATTATTTCTCCATAGAATCCTCTGAAAGTTTCTGTCCTCAGGATGGATGAGGATCTGCCTGAACATCTTGGTTACGTCTCCAGAATAAAGATATTTATGTTTCCTCCAGTGCGAGATGACATTGGAGATCTCTGCCTGAAGCTTCAGACCCTTATGAAGAATATCATTAAGAGATAGCCCCGATGATGTCTTAGCTGAGGCGTTAAATACTACTCTCAGTTTGGTAGTCAAACTCGACTCTCGGATTACAGGATGATGAGGAAGATAATAAATCACGAAGTCACTCTCACCTCTTGCCGCTACCTTAGACAGGTGCCCTACATGCTCATACTCCTCTAGAAAGTTATCATATTCCTGATACAACACCGGGTCCCTCGCGAAACGACTACTCCCTCGGTTCAACATCCTCAAAGCCAGAGCACGCGAATCCCCTAGCCGATCAGGTGATGTCTTGAAAGGTATCCTCACCACATACCGTCCACTCTCATCTCTTGAAATGGTAGACTTGTAGTACTCCTCACACTGAAGTTCCCCTCATCTCTCCTGGAGGCTTCAAAAACACCTCTTCTCGAACCCAGAACTCTTTCACCAAATTATGTAACTCATGATCAGCTGAAATGTGGAAACTCGAACTTCGATAGCTATTACCTCTCTCAGTAAGAACCTTCCCTGATATAATCCACCCCCGAGAAGTCGGCTGGGCAATCGGCTGGTCCAGAGACTCTCGTCTTAATCCTGGCTGAATAATCTGGTGATAAACTTCTGCTCCAAGAATAACGTCGATCGTCCTGCGGCTGCTATACTTTCGATCAGCAAGTTCGATACTCTCCAGCACAGCCCAATGTTGACAAGATTCTGCCCCTGGTACATAATCAGTCAACCATGCCAGCACCACTGCCTCAGCAACATCGACAGGTTGATCCCAGCGGGAGAACCACTCCATGGAAATAATTCCCTTAGCAGCCAGAGAATCGGCACCCCCGACACCTGACACTAGCGCTGAATAATTGCGACGTTTCAGTCGAAGCATTTGGGCAAACTTCTCCGATGTCAGTGTCACTTGAGAACATGGATCGACCAGAGCTTTTCCTTCAATCAAATCCCCAGTGATAGATTTCACCTTGATGACAGCAGTTGCTAGAATAGCAGAAGACGCACCTGCCAACCGGTCATGAGCAACAGCATGAGTGACAGGATCAGCTGAACTCGACCCTGAAGCTGAACCACCTTGATTAAAATGAATAGTGCTGCTTAGCACTGCACTTTTGATAGACCTTCTTTGAAGTACATTTAATGACCCTATGAGTCCCAAGGCAGTTGAAACATAGCCCGAGCTCTTTAACTTTCTCATTGCTTTGTTGTGGCGTAAGAGCTAAGGCCTGAGAGCACCAAACGACATAGTGGTCCTCTTGACAGAACGAGCATCTCTGAGAAATAGCATCCGCAGCAGCAGCAACCTGATGAACTCTAGCTCCACCAGAATTAGCTCCTCTCTTGCCTCTCGAGTCACTCGCCGAAGATCTAACGACATCAGGTGTCACACTCGAAGAAACTCCAGCATAGTCAGCCTGATAAGACTGAAGAACTCTCATTCTGGTCAAAATCAACTCCCTCAGTTGATTCCACTTCGGTGGTTCCTTTGAGGCTGCCAGGAGTCTTTGCCACTCCTCAACTGTGGCAGGATCTGGTTTCCTTACAATGATATAAAGTAGAAGATCATCCCACTCCCCAACAGGTCTCTTCAATACTTCCAGTGTATTGAGAGCTTCAGTAATCTCAGTGTATAACCTGTTGAGAGACTGCACGGAATCCTTGACCGCAGGAGCTGCATTGAATAAAATTGACAAATACACATTAATCAGCGCTCTGGGGTTATCATAGTACTCCACTAGGCTATCCCATGCCAACTGATAATTTTCTAGAAGCATAACGAGATGCTTCAGCCTCGTCGAAGCATTGCCTGTCAAATAATTCTTCAAAAGGTATAACCTCTGCACATTAATGTACTGAGGATTAATAGCGAGGAGCTGCAAATACATATCCCTGAACTCTAACCAGTTAGCAGGATCCCCATCGAAGTAAGGGACTTGGAATTGAGCCATCTTCAGAACAGATTGCTGAGAAAAATTCGTCGACTGGGCATTCAATGTAGAGTTCAAACTTTCCCCCTCACCTGTACGACTCATATCTGCATCTCTGAAAGCTTGCATCGTTTTTACAGCTGACAGATAAATCTCTTTCGCCCGTTGATACTTCTTGTCCGTGAAATAAACATGCTCCGAAAGCAACTTTCACAAACAAGCATGATTCTCCTGGTATCCAAAGCTCTGCTTCTTGTCTCCAGTCTAGCGGGAGTCACTGTCTCTGTAATTAATACCTGATAGTCTTTTGAAATGGAGTCAGCGAGCTCAGCCTGCTCATCTAAAACACTCGTAAAAGTCGCCATATTTAATTACTGCTATAACAGATGTCGATAACTTCTCGACTAGTATAAAAGATAACAAACTGTATCACCGTGGTCGGCGGCACAGTTACCTGCTAGACTGATGGTCTCCACCGATGCTATTAAATAGAAAATGGCCATGCACCATCAACCGACGCCAAACTCCCGCCGTTATGATGCACCAGCGACTGCGCGTCTGCTCACTTAATTCCACCGATCAATTAAACTCCGATAATTCTCCTAGAGATGATTTCCACGATGAATTCTAACCGATGATTGTCTCTATAACAAGCTCGATGATTTTCTGGATGATTTCCGCAGATAATCCCACGAACCTTGAGACGCCAACACTGCTCACTCGATGATTCTCTCATACGGCACTATGCTCAATTGTTCGTCCACAATTTTAATCAGATAAATGTCACTCGTGAGCCACGATGCGACTCGAAGGACCAAAATGTTGAAACTTGGGTTAGGACGTTGGTGCCGGATAGGGGCTTACACTAAGAAGAAAAACACTCACAGATTTTAACTAAATCTCACATTTGTATATGTAATAGTCTCAAAGTCATTTACAACTGCGTTAATTGAATCGGTCTCTAAATTTAAATACACTTCGGAATTACCGGCGAATTTAGTGAACTGTAGTTTCACTGATCTAGACAGAATGGCGTCTCTCTCACGACAGGATTCTAAATTCCGATGGTTAAGGTATTCCAAGCGGAGTCAGTAATTATAAAATTATTCAGAATGCCGAGAGTGACACTAGATGACAGTAAGTGTCCCAAAATATCGCGAAACAAAACAAAAACCGCAGCTGACTCCTAACACTACGTTTGATCGCTTTGCTGAGCTTCCGGCGTGCTTCCTTATATCTCCACTGCAGCTCCTCGACGTCTGCCTTTTTAAGGCCACGTTGAGACAGTCTTCTGACAGCATTATATTCCTTCCGTAGAATGGCGATAGTGTCATTCCACCAATGTATATCCAGTCCAGTGGTGGATTCCAGTATACTGTCCGTCTCCTAGACATGGTGGCATCGCATGCTTCTGTCACTCTTTTCATGATATTCCGTGCCTTTTAAGTAGCATTTTTCCTACTAATCGGGCGATCGTCCAGTGCGACTAGATAAGAGCTACGATGGAAAGTGCTCATTCTCCAGCCAATACAGTTATTTTTCTTAGAAGTTGAGGCGACTCTGTGGTGAGTTTATGTCTCCCAAAGTATCGCACGGTGGTCGCTTGCGGTGTACGTATCCATTACTTTCCATGAGCAGCTCCCCTTTGCGAGGTTGCTGCTCACGAATGTAAGGTCCACAATTGAACTCGCCTCTCCTCTCATGAAAGTCGGTGCATCACCGCTGTTCAGTGGAATCACATCCAACGATGACATGGCTTCCAGTACAGCCCGCTGTCTGCTATTGGTCTAATTACTTCCCCAGTCAACTATCCAAACATTGAAGTGCCCGGCTATTGCTACGGGAAATTGCTGCTTCGCATCTTCAGTCAGTCTGTCTAGGAATTCCGTAAATTGATCGATGGAAAGGCTCGGTGGGGCGTAGCAGCTATAGAAATGGATTCCATCAACCTTAGCCTTGACGAAGCCTACTGTCCGTAGTGCTCTGAACTGGCCGTTTCCCACAAGCCCAGATTACTGCCTTCGTGCTAGCGTCAGTCATCCAGAATTGGGTGCCGAGGTGTCGATACGGCGCTGAGATTATGACAGGGTCAAACTTCCACTCCCGCACCATCTGTATAAGCAGGTTGTGTGCATCTTCACAATGATTGAGGTTTAGTTGGAGTACCTTCATCATCGTTTATTGAGGACCTTTTGGAGCGCCTCCTTATATAATACACTGGGCATTTACTGCTACCAGCAATGTGAGCACAATTCTCTGTGTTGCCTTTTTTCTCACTGCACAAGGCGTATAGGGGCCTCTTCTTGCAGTCTGAAGCTTTGTGTCCAGTCGCTGTGCATTTGATGCAGAACTTCGATCGGTCAACAGTGCTCGTGCATTTCGTGGCGAGATGTTCGTAGTGCCAGTACCTGAAGCACTTCATCGGTCTCTCCAGTCTCCTGATATGGCAAATAACCAAACCGATCTTAATTTTGCCATGCTCACCCAGGATATTTTTGGCAGCAGTTGCTGCGACAGTCACTGAGGCGGTCTGGGTTCCACCATATGCCATACACAAAAATTTAAGCCTTAGGAGTTATTTCGTCCTCCTCTCCAGCTACTGTTTGTAGAGCTTTGAGAACTTCTTCTTTCGTTGCTGTCTCGTCGAGATCCTTTATTTCGAGGTCCTCTTCTGGTCCTTTTCTGAGCATTTGAGCCTCATCTCCAAGGTGATTGGCGATGGCTATACGCAGTTCAGGGGCTCCGTCAGTCGTCTTCTTGCTCAAGAATATCGATATATCCCCGATGGCTGTCCGGCGGATCATGTCGACGCAATCGTGAGCTTTTTCCGGAGGAACATCTTTCTTTACTCGACATAGAATCTCCGAGTATTTCTCCTTGTCTTTCGACCGGATAATTAGCGCATCAGGTCACGGCGCTGGTTTCCTAGAAGTCTTCATCTGGTGCTTCTTCTTTTTCTTTTTGGGAGTCAGCTGTTCGGGCTGTGTACTCTGCCCTTTTTTCCTCTCCTTGCTCTCCACAAGCTCCCATTTCAGATTTGCAGGTGGCTTGATGGATGGTACTTCCTACAATGCCGGTAGCTGCTTCTTCACCTTCTTCATCTCATGGGCTTCGATCCCAGGTGAGACTTTCGACCGTTTTCTCCGTAGCCCTTTACGGATTTCTCAATCACCCTTTCCGATGTCCGAGTTCTCCATCTCCGAGTCCTTCGTCGTTGTCTCGGAGTCTGCTCGTGAGCGCTGGCGCGGTGGTGCTAGCAGGCCTCCTACCGGTCCAATAACCGAGTGCTCGGTTCGAGTGCTTGCTTCCTCCAGCCCCTTGAGCTTTCTGAAGGCATTGCTAATAGAGGTAACTCTGGGCTTTCACCTCCGTGTGGATGTTTTGCCTAGGTCGGACAAATTCATGTAATTCTACAATGAGCTTACCCAACCGGGCCCATGCAAGGGAGCACTCCGTCTCCTGTTGAGTCTGCAACTCTACCCCACTTATGTATTGTGACGTATTTTCTTACCTCTGCGGACGGTGAAAAACACGCAGCCCTCAGCGACCAAACAACGAAAAGAAAGTTGGGCGCCACCACGGGTGAACCGTTCAATTCAAACAACAAATTAAATCGACAATTATTCCAGACGAAAGAACAACCTCCGACAGCTCAGACAACCGCGGTGGCGGCTGGGTTCTCGATACAAATGGTTGTTCGGGAGTTTCCGAAATGACTTGGTTTTCTTATCTAACAAATTATCCAAAAATGCAATAATCCGGGGAATAAATCATTTATTCAATAAACCCCCTTATTCATTTCAATCCAAATCACCCCTCAGAAAATTAATAACACAAATATTCAAGAAAAGCTAAAGACTCGATAAACTAGAAAATCCCTAACCAATGATTGGTCCAAAATAATAAAATACTAGTCAGTCAAAAGAATAAGTTCAGTCAAAATTACGAAATCATGAATAAAGTCAAACTACAGAAATGACTAGCGAAAATAAAGTCAACTAATATCACTGAATGGGAGGTTAATTTTCCGATAGAATAAAATATGAAAATATCCCAAATCGAAGAGGTGACTGACATCGACAGCGGCAACTGAAATTGCCTCGGAACAGACAATACAAAAGGCGACCGCAATCAAGGTCAAATACGAATCACTCGAGCGTCGACAAGACGCTACAATTTCAACTGCCGATGCGATGACGGAATGATACGACAACTTCAAATATCGAAAACAAAAGTAATTACCGTAAATTTCGAATGTTAATGTAGTTCTCAAACTTAATTCAAAACTGAATAAATTATTCCAAAGGATTTCTTCGACCGATTCCTCATCCGATCGGCAACCAAACCATTGAAACGAGAGTCAAAATCCGTTCAGAGAAACCACTGAATTCCGGAGAAAATCGAACATCTCAAATCACAAGATAATATCAAAATCATACGTCCAAAATGAATTATACAAAAGAGGCTAACCTCCGCCAGGCAGACTGTTATGTCCAGAGAAGGATTTTAGCGTCGAATGGAGATGTTTTAATTGTCACATTAAAATCAAAGCTAAAATTATTGAATTTTATAATTATCGGACGACGCAAAGTTTTATATTCTTACCTTTTTTTAAAATATAAGGGAAAAAGGGCTTGATTTAAGGATAGGGCTTCAGTTGAGACGAATTTCTAATCAAGACATTTGGAGTTGTAGTGGGAATCAAATTTGAATTTAAATATATTTTGTATAACTACTCGGTTTACAAAAACATGAGCGTGATTTTACAGAAATCTAGGTAGCTAAAATTCCTATCCCTGGAATGATCTGAAGGATTCAAATTTGGGTTTACAAATTTTGTTACTCACAATTCGGTCTGATATTTATAAATTATTCGATGTATTTGTAGATCCCTGGGTAAATCCGTAATTTCCTCACCAGCAATTAGTCGCGCTAAAGGCTATTATGGATACTTTCACGGAAACACTTTCTTATCTACTCGTTGATATTTTAATGAATTTTTGGCAGTTGAAGTTGAAGATTTTAAGAGTTTGGTTGAGATTGTCCACAACGCGTTACAATAAACGAATTCCTTATTTGCAAGAAAAGTCACCACTCTCGGTTAAAGAAATTTTATTCCCGGATAATTTCAATTGTTCGTAACTTACTATTAATTCAGTACTATCCCGTGTAATCGAAGGAAGGATTGAAAAACCGGACCGATTAAATGAACTATTTACACCAGAATTGTTACTGCTCCGTCGCTGCTTCAAGACTGTTTAATTTTGGTTTTTCTGACATTTTTATATGAATTTTGGGGTCACTTGTCACATGGGCTCAAACGAGTCCATTTTTAATTGGTGGAAAATGTCGTATGACTTTTCCCACTCTTTTGATTTTTATGGGAAAGTAGTTCATTCAGTTTTTGAGGTCTTAATTAATCGGTTTGCAATCGTTCCTTCGCGTGCGAATCTTAGTATTGGGTAATTGGGGCATGCTGAGTGTGCCATTTCATCACTTTTGAACTCGATTCCAATGTCTTTGGAATTTTTAATCGAGTTCAAGTGATGAAATGCACTCAATTTAGTTTACAATTGTGGGTTTGGTTCTTAATGATTTCACATAAAATTATTCTAGCCTTAAAGTTTCTCGTACAAAATTTTGGACATTACAAGACGATAAGAACTCGCCCCGAAAATCAAAGTACTCTAATGGCGTCACTTCGCCCGACGCTAAGCGTCGTCAAACAGCTAACGAGCGAATTCTGATCGTTGTCGATATAAAACAAATACGCAATAATATTTCTGGAACTCTTCTTCCGCTCACCACAATCTCCAACGAGTCTAGTCCAGGAGCCAGGGCGAAAGATTCCCCAAATACTACAAATCCCGTAAACGCTGGTGTCCACAACAAGACGAATTGCTCCACCAGCAAGAGGTTCTCCACAAAACAACACCTCGCTCGCCACCCAAACGAGAAGTGAGGCTAAAACCCACGCTTCTCCTATGCGTTCGGGACACTTCCCGCCAATCGAACCCCATTGGCCAGGGCCGTTCCATGAGCCGCTCTGATTGGTTGTAACCCCAACCAAACCAGACATCCTCCAATAGACACTCATATAATTACCGGACGTCTAACGTCAGTCCGGTAATTTCTCTCGCACTGCCTAAACCATCACTTCTGGTTAGGCGTGGAGATCCAAAATGGCCTCACAAATCTCGGCCGATAACCGCCTTCGTCCCGTCACCTCCGACAAGTGGCTCCGCCGGTGAACTGCACTCGAGATATCCCTCCAACGCGGGAACTCGATCCAAATACAAAAGCAGCTCTTTTACCACATAATGACTTTCTGGAGTTTCTCCCTTTCCAGCCCCCTGGAGACCCGACGTCCGAGGCTGCCGAAGTCCCTATATGTGGCTCGATACAATAACAAAAAAATAAAAATAAAAACAAAGCATTAGTCATAACCCCAAATAAACCATTTTGACTCTCGCTTCGCAGTGATGACTTCTCGTCTGGATGGTAAATTTCACCGTTGAACGGTCGAAATAAAATAACACGTTACGGTATGTATGTGTGTATGTATGTATGTATGTATGTATTGTTACGTATTTTGCCCCTCTGCGGACACGAGACAAAAATACGCAGCCCTCGGCGACCAAATCTTAGATCCAAAAGTTGAACGCCAGTACGTTTTCTCTCAAAACGCACAAAAACCAAAATCCGAAATCCACAGAATAAACCAACGGAGGAACAGCCGCCGAAAGGTCAGTATATCATCCGCGGAGGCGACTGGGTTCCAAAACGCTGCTCCAAAAAATTATTTTGAAATGACTGGGTTCCAACAATCAAAATAAAATCGAATTCGCGGGGTAACAAAATTATTTAATAAAGATAATTATACAAGAACAATAAATGAACTATAACCCCGTCTTATTCTCAATATAATTGGCGCTCGATACTCGATTAATAACTACAAGATAACGCAGATAAAATAAATCAACGAATTAAGACTCTATACAACACAAATCCCATAACCACGATTTGTCAAATGATAAAATACTAGTCAGAAAATTGTAAGTCAATATTAGTCAAATAATCCGAAGTCAAAAATATCAATCGGTAAAGTAACTAGCAAAATTCCCTGAGAGTCAGATAATCTTGGTACAGGAATCTACTATCACTGCGAGAACGAGCGCGTCCACCAGAAGCGGCGAGAATAAGATGTAACAAAAATGTACTATTGGGAGGGGGATTGCCTCGCGAATGAATTTAAGAAAACTACCGGTAACCAACTGAACGGATCACCCGTCAACAAGACGAAAACTCGAACGTCGACAAATGATTCTACAATCCCTTTAAATGCCTTTAAAGTCGAGATATTAACGGTCTCCCTTTTAATCGAATACCTAATATACGCGATGTTGTTTAGCTTTGAAGGCCCCGAACAGAAAACAAAATTGGACTCTCAAGTGGAAATATCATTGACCTCGAGGTTTCAATCGCCGTTACAACAGAAAAATCGATAATAAATTCACGGCGATTTTGGCGAAACGAGAGTAACCAACACAA